AGAAAGATTTAAAAAGGACATGAGGAGCAACTTTTTTTACACAGGGAGTGGTTTGAGTGTGGAATGAACTGCCAGAGAAAGTAGTAGATGCAGGTGCAGTTACAACATTTAAAAGACATTTGGATAAGTTCATGAATAGGAAATGTTTGGAGGGACATGGTCCAAGCGCAGGCAGGTGGGACTAGTTTAGTTTGGGAACATAGTTGGCATGGACTGGTTGAACTGAAGGATCTGTTTCTGTGCTGTATGAATCTATGACTAAGTAGGGAAGAAAGTCTTGCAATTATACAGCACCTTTCATGACCTCAGATTGCTGCAGAGCGCTTCACAGCTCATAAAGTACTTTTGAAGTGTAGTTACTGTTGTAATTCATGAACCATAGAAGCCAATCTGTGCTTAGCAAGCTCACACACAGTAATGTGGTAATGATCTGATCTGACTTTACTGGTGTTGATTAAAAGATAAACCTTGGGCAGGGCATTGCAAATAACACCATTGGTCCTCTTCAAAGCTGTGTCATGGAATGCGAGGACTCAGTTTAAAGTTTTATCCAACAAGGTGGCACCTCCAGTAGTGCCTTAGTATTGCACTGTGCTGGAGTCAGTTTTGAATGCATATTCTCCCAACTCAGAGGCTAGAATGCATCTAACAGAGCCATGGTTAATGCAGTGAAGCGATACATTTTCCCTCGGTAGCCCAGGGCATCAAAATTTATAGAATGTTAACTGCTGTCCAGTACTTGATTTCAACATTGTCTGGTTATCAAACTCAGGACTCATGTGGCTGAGTTCTAAGAATAGGGTTGTGCTTTTGCTCATTCAGTATGCATCGTATGTCAACTAATATACTTTTCTTAGATCTGTAGAATAATATAATAAGACTGATTATAAAAGCAAAATAGGTTATAAAAAGATTCTGAGTGGAACTGGCCGAGTGGATAGGGAAAATTCCTCCGAGCTCCATTCCCTTCCCATGCATTAATTAAAATGGCCCATTTCAAGGACATTTCACACATTATAACTTTGAAAGAAATTCAATGGAAAGTGAGATGTATTAACTTGCAAATTTGGTGGAAGATCCTAAATGAGATACTCAACCATTAGATACATGTGGGTATGCAAATGTAGCATGCAGTAGTTTGCATGTGCACCTTGACATAGGGTCAGGTCAGCTACCTCAGTTGGTGTGGTCCTTAGTAATGGTGACTGTGCTCATTCATTCTCCTTACCATCTGAGGTAATTCTTGGTGTCTGTCTCTTCTGCTTATAATTGTGAAAATGTAGCATAAATGAAAGGCAAGGAGAGATGTATGGAAAGATAGTGTTAAGGACGATTTGGGTATGACATGAGATAACCTGTAAATCCACATGAATTACCAGCTGGGATTAGAATGAGGTGGACGGTCTTAATTAACTTCGTAAGTAATAATCACTTAAGCTTCATTTTTGTTTATTATTATTCAAGAAAATAGTCAGATTGAAAAGAAAATTATTTAAACTGCACAAACACGCTTAGATACCAATGCAGCAGTCAGAAAATGCAATGTGGCTGAACCAACATTAACCCTGAGACCTTATTTGGAAATTGAATGTCAGGATGACCCTTACCATGCTGAGAAAGACAAAGCAATGAGGTTTAGTCAAGGATGGGAATGAATCACAGGCTTCAGGGGCGGAGTAGGATGGCACTCAGGAAGTTGGGAGTGGGGAGACTGGGGTAACAGGCGTCTTGCCACTTTTGGAATTTGTGAAAAACGTGTTTGTTAAAAACAGACCATTTCTGAATTTGAGAAATGTACTGCCTATGTGACTTAAAATGTATAAATACCTGATGAATCCTCGTTGAGTTAGAATGTTACGTTAGCTCAATAAACAATTGTTGATCTCAACCTGGTCGCTCCAGAGATTATTTTGGTAAAATAAATCTACCACAATACCAGGATTAGCAACAATCAGGCTAATCAGATGCTATAGAAAGACAGCACGAGTCTGGTATGGAATCAAGCTTCTGATGTAGTTGAATTCAGTTTTTTTCCTAATTATTAGCTGATCCTCCGTAGCTTTGTTTAATGAAACTATGATTCGGAACATGGTTCTGCAATTTAGCGAGTGGAAGCTTTTCTTCAGCAAACTTGTCCCTTTAGAGTGATTGCTCAATGTATCCTTTTAGGAAATAAATGGGAAGTGTAGCCCATGCTGCCAGGTTTAACAGTTTGGGTAGATGATGTCTCATGGCTTACCAGCCATTGTGCCAGAAGCAAAATTTCATTAATTGTATCAAAATAGGCACAAATGTGGAAGATAAGGTTTGAGGGGATTTCCTGTAGATTAGTAGCTATTTGTAATTTCTTTGATCCTGGCCTTTCAGGGCACGTAGTTTAGCAATGCAAGGTTTGGATTCATGAGCTGGCTATGCAAGTTCAAATCCAACAATAGCAATTAGACAACTTCAGTTTCTAGATGGAAATGTAAACTCTGAGGAGGTTTTAAAGGGGTATGGATGGATTAAACGAATGGGCAACAAGTTGCAGGTAGAGTAAAATGTGGTGATATGTACAGTTGTAGTAGGAACTGCAGATGCTGGAGAATCTGAGATAACAAGGTGTAGAGCTGGCCAAGCAGCATCAGAGGTGCAGATTTCTGAAGAAGGGTCTAGGCCCAAAACATCAGCTTTCCTGCACCCCTGATGCTGCTTGGCCTGCTGTGTTCATCCAGCTTGACACCTTGTTATCTCTGATATGTGCAGTTATCCACTTTGATGGTAAGAATAGAAAAGTAGGAATTTTGTTTAGAAGGCATGCAAACTTCTAAATGTTAATGTCCATAAAGTCTTGAATATACTTATGTAAGGTACTTTAATGTTATCAAGAAACTTGGAAAACAAGAAAAAAAAGTTTTGCTACAATGGTAAAGGACAGGCTGCATCTGGAGTACTATGTGGAGTTTCAGTTTCTATATAAGGAAGGATATACTTGCACTGGGTTCCTGAGATGACAGAGTTGTTTGAAGCTAAAAAGCTGAGTAAATTGGCCAATAAACAAGCATAAAAGAATGAAAGATTATCTTAAAACATACTGAACGTGAAAAGGTTTTGGCATGCTGAAAACTGAGAGGTTGTTTCCTGGTTGGGAAATCTAAAACATGGCATGGTGGCTCAGTGGTTAGCGTTGCTGCCTCGTAGCACCAGGGACCCAGGTTCAATTTCGTCCTTGGACGACTGTTTGGAGTTTGCACTTTCTCCCTGCATCTGCCTGAGTTTCTGCCAGGTACTCTGGTTTCCTCCCACAGTCCAAAGATGTGCAGGTCAGGTGGATTGGCCGTGCTAAATTGTCCATAGTGTTCAGAGGTGTGTACGTTAGGTGGAATAGACATGGAAAATGCAGGGTTACAGGGAAAGGGTAAGGGGATGGGTCTGGGTGGGATGTTCTTCGGAGGGGTGGTGTGGACTTGTTGGGCCAAATGGCCTGTTTCCACACTGTAGAGATTCTATGATTCACAAGGGGTGAAGCATCATGATAAGGAGTTGATCATTGGACTGAAATGAGGAGAAATGTTTTCACTCAAAGGCTTGTGAATCTTTAGAATTCCCTCTCTCCGCACTGATTTTTTTCTTTCCTTGTATATTTATAAGACCTGTAATATTTTAAATGCAATTGGTACATTTAAGACATGTGATTCAAATAACAGACATTTCTACAAATATGAAAAAGAGAAAATGGAGGATTTGAAGCATGTTAAAGTTCAAAGTCCATATTGTTTAATTTTAGCAAGATAGTATCAAACTGTAGGTATAACAACATGAACAACTGTTTAAACTTCAAGGTTAGCTCAGCTATCTTGCATGAATAATAAGGCTAAATGCAACTAAGAAGCTTTCAGATTTCAAAATCATAATGAGTTGCATGTTTGCGATAAAGCAGCACAATTAAAGATGTACAAATTCTCCTTGCAAGTCAAGGTGAAAAGAATCTAAAGTGTCAAGACAATGGCAGCACACTGCAATCGTGCATTAAACACAGGACAGCACAATTAATAATATCAGTTCTCAATAAATAAATTGAAAAGCCCCAGATATTCAGAATAAGACCTGATCAGTAGGAAGTGCAGTGAGGAGACAAAAGAAATGCAGGCTTCAATATGCTGGCGAGGAAATAGAGATTAATGGAGAGTTGGGAGAGAGCTGTGACTTAGTCTAAAGGCTCAGAAAATATCATAAACCACAGGGGTGAAGCCTGTGTGCTTTTCAACTGCCATTTGAACTGTAGTTTCATTAACCTGTGGCAGTATATAAAGCATTTTTAGACATTTTGTGCAAATGTGGGATTTAGTATTCAATTTGTTTGAAATGTGATGATGCTTTCAAAAAATGTGGATGTTTATGGTGTCAATATAAAAGGTTTAACCCAATTTTACCAAGATTTGTCTTCCCCTATTTCTTTTTTCAGCAGAGCTGAAATGGATTGCAATTTGGATTTTTAAAACACTTTACATATATTCTGGTAGAATAAAAGATGTCAGCAAAATTGGGTTATGAAATCAACTAGAACAGAAGCTCAGCAAAAAGAATATTACAATCAGACCAAATTGACAAAGATCTTTTGATTCAAATGCTCAAATGTCTAATTGGACACATTTGCACGGTAGTTACTATTTCTTGCCATGTCTGCAGTTAGAGCTAACAACCATAATTTTGGTTCTTTCCAGCATTTACAGATAAGACTGAATATATTAGTAAAATGTACAAATTCTCTGAACACAATTGCTCAACATTAAAAAGAAAGACAAGTTTTACTTTATATCAGACAAGTGATAATGCACTATTATAGCAAAAGTTGTTGCATTCCATAAACATATGACTTTAGATAATAGCAGTTTACCATTGTCTGACAAACATCGGTAGTCTGTATACTTTTCAAGATGACTTTGTAAATTGAGTTTTCAACTCTAAGGCAGGAATAACTGAGCAAAGGAGTCATATTCCCAGCAAGAAGCATCACGTACCCATCATTGTAACCACCGTCATGTCGAGCAGAAGCAAAAACGTCCATCTCAATTAGGTTGTCCTGCAAAGTCTCTAGGAATGTCTGCTTTGCTACATTTCTACATTCAGATGGAAATATGAATGAAGCCAATGAGCTGCATATGTATAAAATAGTGAATGGAGACAGCAAAAAATCAAAATCAGCAAAATGGCCAACAAATTAAAAATCAGACATCAGTGTAATGATAGGAATAATAGTGGCAGAGAAACTACTGATGTCCTTTTTAAAACATGTTTTCAGATCAGTCATTTAGTAGGTTTAAGGTATTATGTAAAATGGTTCAGATAAAATTACTTCACATGAATGAACCCTAAAGACTAAACCTAGCATCATTGGCCTGGAGTCTCTGCATGCTTTCTGCCCAAATAACAATACAATCTGGGTAGAATCCACTGAAGTAGTGTAAAAACAAATGCTGAATTTAAAACATCAGCGAATTATGCTCATCATCATTTATGCTTAGTGCCATCTTTTGTGCATGTTCACATGTCAATATGCACAGAGCAGTCCCTTACTTAAAAATCGTCCATGTATCCAGATCAGCATTTCCTCTGATTGGGTCTTTTCAGGGATGCTCATCACACCTTGACTGGAGTTTTGGGTGCACAGGCCAATCTGTTGTTAATAGCTTGCAGTCAATTGAAGTCTCACTCAGGTCTGTTTCTGATGCTGGTGAAACATTTATCTTAAGTTCAGTTTAGGTGTGTCCAAATGTCATCAATTGATTGGACGTTGCCAGACTGGTGACCAGTGGTCAATTGACTAGCCTGGTGTTTGAGAAGAAATTACTTGAACACCTTTTCAGTTCAATTGAACAGTTATTGATCATAATTGATATGGTAATTTGATTTGGTGATTCATGGGAGATTTTAGGCATGGGCTGCTCAACTCAGTTTGCATGGAAATTTGTGCATAGCTTCATCTTCATAAAACTGGTGCAGTGTTCAGCACATTGTTTGGGTGTTGTCACGATTGCACCCCTGCAAGAAACTCCAGACCATTGTTTAAACAGAAAGCATCGCTTAGAAACATTGGAATGGTGCTTTTTGTTAACTATTTACATGGATTTTCAAAGATATGGTGCAGAGATATTCTACAATTTTACATTTACAAATCTTAAGTGTCAGGTTTTCTAGAGTATTGATATTAAACAGCCACAGCAGCTTAGCCACAGTATTATATTAGTGAGGCAAGAAGCCTACCTGGTCTCCAGGGGGATATTACTATTGAGTAACCAGTTGTCCTGCATATGGGCAGGCTCCTGTATGCTGGGAGGTGGTTCTGGAGGTGGTGGAAGGTCAGCTGGACTGGGACTGGGATTACTGCGTGTGGTGAAGTTCCCCCTGTTCAATGAGTTAGCCGAAGAGGCATGAGGATGGTTTAGAGTATGGGTATGCGTCATTGCAGGTGGAGGTGTTCTGAGCATTGAATGGTTCTGAGAAGGATTGGCCAAATGATCTGAAAGAAACAAAATTAGACATATTAGAGATATCCTTACTGAAATAATCATCTGGTAGTTTGCTGACACTTTTATCATAGAATCATAGAACCCTAGAGCCCCTACAGGTGTGGAAACAGGTCCTTCGGCCCAACAAGTCCACACCGACCCTCAAAGCATCCCACTCAGACCAATCCCCCTATAACCCACCTAATCTACACATCCCTGAACATTATGGGCAATTTAGAATGGCCAATGCACCTATCCTGCACATCTTTGGACTGTGGGAGGAAACTAGAGCACCGAGAGGAAACCCACACAGACACGGGGAAAATGTGCAAACTCCACACAGACAGGAGCCCGAGGGTGGAATTGAACCCAGGTCCCTGGCGCTGTGAGGCAGCAGTGCTAACCAGTGAGCCACCGTGCCACCCCCTTGTAAAGGTTTTGGGTGTGAATGCCAAGGGTGGATGTTGTGCTCTTTTTGTTTGGCATAGGCTAGAATGATCAAAATTGTTGCTCAATACAAGAAAATTAACTGTCAGAAATAAACCCACTAGTAATACATCTTATCAACAGGTGTACATTTCACCAACTTTTAAACACTGATTTCCTTTTAGTTTTTAAAATGCAGCAAATGGCAAGTGTATGTTGTTAAGCTGTTTATAGAGGCACAACAATCATGGCTACTGAGTTCTGAGGAAGGGTCACCGGACCCGAAACGTTAACTCTGCTTTCTCCTTCAGAGATGCTGCCAGACCTGCTGAGCTTTTCCAGCAAATTTGTTTTTAATCATGGCTACTTCTCTTACAGCATATGCTAAATGAACTGAAATGTATTTTCCTCAAGACAGTTACAAAGCACTGGACCATATTTGAAGTCCAGGCAGATTTTAGGTGCATGGCTGAAGTGGCAAGTCAGAAACTCACTCAGAGCTCCAGATTTTAGGCCCTGGCTACATTTGGGCTCAATTAATTCCTCCAGGTCAACTCACCATATGGAATAGGTGGAATTTCAATGAAAAGTGATAGAAAACTATGCAACCCTGAGTCAACCTGTCTGCATCAAATGGTCTCAAGGAAATCTAAGAGTCATAGTAGTTTAAGCATATTCTGGACCTTGCTCCTCTTCTTGTTGCATTCATCTAGCAGAAAGGCCAGAGTGACTTTCCAGTTAAAAATGCCATTGCTTGCAAAGAAACCATCAGAAACAAAAACCCAATTGGCTTTGGATTGGTGTCCTTGCTGTCTTCCCAAAAGTGTAAATTATAATTTGAAACACAGTGCCTAGCACCTTGCCAATGTGTAAGTAACCTAGGAAATTTTAAATGCCCATAAACCAGTTTCCTTGCTTGGGGTTAAAATAGGCCTGTCTATTTTTATGGGCCATTATTGGCCGCATTGAAAAGGTACCAAGGTTGATTCCATTAACAAGTACTAATCAAGTTTAAGATATTTAGTACTCTTGTTGTTAAACAATTGATACATCTTTTTCATAATTCTTGTCATATAACAGCCAATAATTCCCTATTAATAGGACTGCTGCACATGAAATATTTTCTAATATCAGTTACGGTTATTACACAGCATCAGCTATTTACTGCCCAATTTTGAATTCATGTAAAAAGAGTAAATGCAGTTACTGAATTCTGAAATGTAGGATAAAATATGGGGCATGACTTTCTCAGTGTATGTCTTTTGCACATCTTTCTGACGGTTTGTTAAACCAGGCTCTGCCTCTCAAGTAGATGCAAAAGATGTCATGATGCAATTTTGAAGAACGGGGATATTACCACATATCTACCTCATAATCAGCACAACTTAAAATGAGGATTTTCTGGTCATTAAATGGAAACAAAGTGCTGTGAATGCTGGTGGATCTGAAATAAAAACAAGCAGCATCTGTGAAGAGAGAAACAGAATCAAATTTTCAAGTCCAATTCCACTCTTCTTCAGATGTAGAAGAGGTCAGTATCAATTTCAGTTAGTTGAACCCCACTGTACTAAACAGGTACATGGCATAGTTACAATGCTATCTATAGAACAGTACAGATGTTGCAACCATCAATTTTAACTTCACTGTTCCATCTCAACCTGCTGTTGGGAAATCAAAACTTCAGACCCTGCTTAAGTAGCTCCACACTTCATACTTCCCACTGTGAGTTTCATAAAATTCCTCTTGTTCTTCTCTCTTCCTTTCTTTCACTATCTTCCACTTCCTTCTTTTGGTCCAGTTATCCCAACATCTTGTATCTTGCTTGATTTGAATATTAAACTTGCACTTGACTTGGTATGCAGCATACTGAAGTACACAAGCTTACAATGAATTAATTCCAGCAAACCCAGGACCCTCATTGTGCATTTGAGTTTAATAGCTGGATTATTGTCGCCCAGTGGTTTACTTATTTATAGAAAGATAGAAAAATAAATATTAAATCGTAGCTGAAGCTATTAATTAATGAGAGGTATGAATGAAGTGTAGACAAATGAAACATATGAAAAGGAAACAGTAGATATACATTTGTACACTAATTACCATTTAGCAAATATAGAATTTACTATTCTTTCTCAAAAGGCATTCCTGCTTTGATCTTCTCAATAAGTGAAACGGAAGCCCAGTCCATAAGTAAACTTACTTAACAATTGGCAGCAAACTGATCCACAGAGACCTTTTCTGCCTCTGCCTATTAAGCTTCAGAATGTTTCCTAATTTGACCAAGTCAGCTTCAGGCATATCTTCAAAACTGTTTTCAATACATGTAAACTAAATATATTTAAGATATATCTTTACTTTAACCATTTTCAACTTTCAAAATAATATTAGCTCATACAAATACAGCTGTCAATCATGTACTTTTCACAGTATATGTTTGTTAATTTAGTTATTTAACCTTTTCTGAAAAAAACCTATTAGGTTCCACCTGACTGCTGCTTAAAATTGACTCCCATTAGTAAGTGCATTTTGAAATTAGTGTACCACATAAGCAGGAATGTACTGAAGTATAATGGTAGTGTTCCTACTGCTGGGCCAGAAGTTCTGGTTCAAATCTTATCTGTCTGGAGGTATATCATAACATGTTTGAGCAGGTTAATTAAAATTAAGCTGGTTCCTTTGAGTGCAAAGCCACAAACAGTAAATTTTAACAGTTTTAGCGTTCTTGTGGTGCAGTGGTAATGGCCCTGCCTCTGGGCCAGAAGGCATGGTTTTGAGTCCCACCTGCGCCAGAGATGTGTCATAACAACTCTTGAACAGGTCAAATAAAAATATCTACCAGCTAAGCAGGGGTGGAGTGAGAAATTATATATGTAAAAACAAGTTGTGTGTGTTGTGAACTGTAGCTCATCAAACAGTTGAGGCATTTCTAAATCAGGAACGTAAATGTTTAACCATGCAAACACTGAGACAAAAGGATATGGAATAAATTTAAATCTCATGTGCATTTCACTGATGTATAATTGTGGATGAATTATGAGCAGCTGGTTATGTTCTGCAACTTTGAACCTGCTGTAATGAAGGAGAGCACTCACCATCTGTATTAGAACAGTCAACTTTCATGGAAGATGTGAGGTATCACGAAGAATAAGTGCAATAGATACATTATATTATGCCGGAGGAAATCAGCTACATCTAGGAGAAGTAATGTTAACTCCTTCATCCATTACTGCAAGATAATTTTTTCATGCAGTTTAGATTTATTAATGATTGCAGCATTATTATGTTCTAGTATAAAGAATAAACTAAATAATTAATATTGTACAGGAAACTAGAAATTATCATTGGTAGCAATACTGGATAAAGGTTTAACATGTTCATATGAAAACTATCTATTCACTGTATTGTGGCTGTCAGTTAGTTCAGTTGGCTAGAGTGTGGTTTACAATAATGAAAATGATGCAGGGCCCATCCACATACTGGCTGTGAAAACTCATGGAGACCTCTCATGTCCCATACTTGAAGCAGAGTGGTGCCCATCAAGCAATATAATCAATTGTTTCTTATTAATCAGAGACTTTGGACAAATGTCAGCATAATGTTAACCTTTTTGAGTTCTAAATATAAAAAGAATTGCAGACATTTGTTTCAAAAACAGAAGTTGCTGGAAAAGCTCAGCAGGGCTGGCAGAATCTGTGAAGAAAAATCAGAGTTAATGTTTCGGGTCCGATGATCCTTCCACGGAACTGATAGTAGCTAGGAAAATGTTGATTTATATGCAGAAGATAGGAAGGGGGAGAGGGTAAGGAGTAAACGAGAGGTGAGGATAGCGTCTAAAGAGAGAGAAGAGCAGTTGGATAGACAAAGGAATAGATAGCGATCTGGCTAGGAAGGTGAATAGCTGTTAATGAGGACTGTTACTGACTAACAATAGGTAGTGTGTAATGGCAGGGTATATGATAACAAAGCCTGGTGTGTGGGGTGGGGGTCGAGGACATGGGAGAGTTTAGGTACTAAAATTATTGAACTTGATATTGAGTCTGGAGGGCTGCAGGGTCCCCAGTTGGAAAATGAAGTGTTGTTCTTCCAGCTTGCACTGAACTTCGCTTAACACTGCAGCAAGTTTGAGACAGAGATGTTGGCCAGGGTGCAAGGGGAAGCTCAGGGTCTTTTTTGTGAGCAGAATAAAGATGTTCTGGGAAGTGGGCACCCAGACTATACTTCGTTTCCCCAATGTAGAGGAGACCACATTGTGAGCAGCGAATGCAGGTAAAGTCTGCTTCACCTGGAGGGTATGTTTGGACCCTTGGATACTGAGGAAGGAGGAGGTAAATGGGCAGGTGTTACACCTTCGGTGGTTGCAAAGGAAAATGCAGTAGGGCTGTGGGGAGGTGTTGGGAATGAAGGAAAAAGTGGACCAGGGTGCCCTGGATAGAATAGTCCCTGCGGAAGGCGGACAAGGGAGGGGAGGGGAATACGTCTCTGGTGGTGGCATCTCACTAGAGGTGGCAGAAATGGCATCTGAATGTGGATGCTGGTGGGACGGTAGGTAAGGACAAGGGGAACCCTATCACTGTTGAGAGAGGGA